GCCCCAGAATGGACGATCCCTGCGGTGTGTTTTGGAACGCTCAGGACCCCGGAGCTAGGGAAGCCCCTTTCATCCATTGTGACGTCAGTGAAGCAGAACGTTCTCTTTTCGCCTCCCTCCCCTGGACTTCCCACGAAGCCCTTTGATCTGCGTTCTAAGGGCTCCACCCCTCGCGGCGGGCAGCCAATAGGAGGAGGCGAGGGGGGGGCTACCGTCAAGCAGTCTAGCAGCAGCGGCGGAGGATGCAGCCGAGGTGGCTGTCAGGGCAGCCGCCGCAGGGCCCCCCTTTTCCCGCCATGGAGGAGCCGCCTCTTCCCCGCGCCTCGGCCTCGGCCTCGGCCTGGAGCCCTTCGGCTCTGCTCCTGGAGCCCTTCGGCTCGGCGCTGGTGGCCGCCACGGGGCTGCTGCTGGGGCTGTGGTGGCTGCTGGGCCGGCGAGCGCCGGAGGGCCTCCCTCCGGGCCCCAAGCCTTGGCCCTTGGTGGGCAACGTGGCCTTCGCCCTGCTGCCCAACCCTCAGACCCGGCGGCAGCTCCTCGGAGTGGCCACCAAGAGCCAGTTCAAGCGCTTCAAGGCTCCGGGGGCCTCCTGGGCCGGGGGTCGCCGGCCCCTCTCGGTCCACGTGCTCCTGACGGAGCTGGCCAAGATCTACGGCAGCATCTTCACCTTGTTCGTGGGCAGCCGGCCCATCATCGTCCTCAGCGACTTCGAGGCCGTCAGGGAGGCCCTGGTCAACCAGGCCGAGGTCTTCAGCGACCGGCCCAGCGTCCCCATTGTGGGCATCCTCACCAAGAAGATGGGTGAGAAGGAGGGCCGGGGGGGGACACACACCAGGGAGGGACCCCTGTTCCAGGACGGGGCCTCCCTTTCAGCCTTCTCTCCAGTAAAAATTCCCCAAAATCTTCCATTTTGAGCCAGAGTGACCAGGCGTCCTCCTTTTCCAGGACGGGGCCTCCCTTTCAGCCTTCTCTCCAGGAGAGATTCCCAAAGGTCCTCTATTTTGAGCCAGGGTGGTCAGGCGTCCTCCTTTTCCAGGACGTGGCCTCCCTTTCAGCCTTCTCTGCAGGAGGGATTCCCAAAGGTCCTCT